GGCCGGCGTGGCGCCTTTGCGCGCTGCTCGCCGCCGCGCTGCTGAGCGTGCGGGCGGAGCCCACCTGCCAGCGCGCCCGCGCCGCCTTCCAGGCGCTGCAGCCCGGCGCCAAGGGGGTGCCCGAGGCTCCCGGGCCAGGTAAGCTGCCGGGGGCGGGTCTGGGGCGCAGGGCGCGCCGCGGGGGCTGTTCCCGAGCCGCGGGGCGGCAGCGGGACCGTGCGCTCCGAGCTCCGCGCGTCTCGTAGGCGGCGGCTCTGGCATCTCCAGGTGGGGCCGCCGCGCCTCGTGGCGAACTGCCCAGAGACGAGGTGGGAAGTGCCCGGGTCGGTGTTAAGCCGTTTCCGAAGTGCCTTTCGCGGTTAGCCCTTTATCCGGAACCATGAGGACTGGAGACTTGCTGCCCTGGTGCTTTAGGGGAAGCGCCGCAGTTTTGCTTTGGGGCACACCCCTTGTGTGGAAATGGAGCCGGGTTTAGTCCCCAGCTGGGGAAGAGATCCGGGTGGAGAGCTGTTGGCAGTCGTTCGGCTGGAGCTGAGTAGCAGCGCCCCCGAATGCCACGGCGAAGCCTCGGCTCCATGGGACGGCTTCGCAGCTCGGCAAGGTTAGCTCCTTCCTGGAACCGCGTCCAAGGGGCTGCTCCGCGCCAGAGGGGGCCCGGTTGAACTCTGCGGAGCAGCCGCTGCCCGCGGATGGCAGAGCACGGCGCCGGTAGGGGCAGAGCCGTTTCACCCCTGCCCTGAGAACCGCAGTTGCAGCGGCTGGCCGCGGCCTGTCTGGCCCGTGGGCGCCGCTTCCCACACCCTCTCCGAGCGCCTCTGCGCGCGGGCGGGCGGGCGGTTTTCCCAGGTTCGCAGCTTCTGGTGCTGTCAGATAGCTTGCTTTTGTATGTGGAAGTTCTGCCTTATTATCTTGCTGTACAGTCACTGGCAGACTTGAGAGGAATTCTGTGCATAGTTACTCAGCAGCTTCAGCCCCGTGATACTCGGCGATGCTTCCTTCCGGCGAGGGGCCCGGGAAAGCTGGCTGCCGGCCTGTGCGTGCGTGCGTGCTTTCCCCGTGGCCAGCCCCTCTGAACGCCTCCGGGAAGCCAGAGGAGGGCCGTGCTGCTGTTCCCCCTGTGTCTCTCTGTTCTGTCTTGCAACCCCTTTCCTTGCACTCGCTTTCTCCCTCCTGGTGCATGCTGGGGGGGATTGGGCTGCAGCTCCCAATGCTGCTAGCTGGGGGTGATGGGAGTTGTTGTCCGGTGCCTCTGGAGGGCGCCAGGATGGGGAAGGCTCTGTTGCACACTGAGAGGAGGGCTGGGATGGCCCACCAAGATGCGTGCCGAGCATGATGCCCTGTGACCGGGGGTGGTGCCTGGGAATGCTTTTCAGGAGCAGGGGCCAGGTGGTGCATCACAAGTGAGAGGATTCCCCAGCCAGCTGCACCCTGAAGAGCGATCAGTAAGAGAAGCGGAACAAAGAGGGTTGTTCTTGAGCCGGGACAGTGGTGCATCCAAAGTTAGTCCAGATCTGCCCTTGCATCCCCCTTCCTGGCCTCACTTCTCCGCTCCCTGGCACACTTGCCCGTTTTCTCTAGGCCTCCGTTAGATGTTTCCGTGACATAATTGTGTTGATCTGTTGCGGCAAAAGGAAGCATGTGGCACCTCGTGGACTGGCACATTTATTACGCTGCCGCTTTCAGGGACGCCACTGAATCACTGTACCTCTGGTAGTGTGAAGCATGGGCCGTTAAGGCTTCTGCCAAAGGGGGCCTGGTTGTCTTTGCCCCCTACAATGAAGGAAGCAGCAGAAGGAAAATGAAACGGGGCATTTTCTGGGCTGTCCTTGAGTGATGCTGTAAATGCTTGGACGTTTCAAGAAGAATACTTTTGTTCCAGTGGGGGCCAGCGGGAAACATGCCAGATATTTTTGCAATTCCAGCATGGCTCACTGCCCTCTTGGCCCGCGGCTAGATGAGTGGAGGATTTTTGGAGGCTGGGGTGGCTGCATGTCTTTTGGGGTTGTGGGGCAGCAAGCCTTTTCTTCCCAGTAGGTTTTGAGTGTCTGAAATGGGGTTAATAGGGAAGTGTTGGGGCGGACTGAAACCCTTCTAGGAGAGTTCTCCCCCTGAGCCTTCTGCGCTCGTGGGCTTTCATCAGAAGTGGTTCCGCTTGGTGGAGGGGCTCCTTGCGGGGAAGAATTGGTGGTGCTCCGGAGCTCAGTGCCGCTAGGGGGCAGCGATCTCTGGTTTCCTGGCTTTTCCTGGATCTGGGATCCGGGCTGCCTTAGGGAGCAGGGGAGGGGAAGGAGCAGCGATCGCTCATGAAACACAGCCATCCAAGCGTCTGGTCTTGGGGGAACTTCTGCAGGGCAGCCCCCCCCCCCCACGTCCCATTAAAATTCATGCCCTGTCCGTGCGTTTCCTGACAAGTAAGTTGTCCCAGTGATTTTCAAGTTGCCATGCGTAGGAGGGCAGCTGAGAACAGCTGGCACTTCTGCATCTCATGGCTGGTGAGCCCTTGAAGAACACACGTTTTCGGTGTGGCTGCCTGCTGCTTGTGGAGTTTGGTGGCTCCACTGCAGCTCGAGTCTGAATCTCTTCTCCGAGCTGGTTGCAGCAGCCTTTGACTAGCCCTTTCCCCTCCTCAGTTGCCATCTGTGACACGGGAATAACAATGCTGCATCTTGCCTGACCAAATTGCTATAAGTGGGTTAAGAGAATATTTATTTATTTATTTATTTAAATCATTCGTTTGCCACCGATTGTGCCACAGCACCTCTGGGTGGCTCACAATCATAAGATAAAAAGCTGCAATAAAAGTAATAACAATTAAAAATACAATGCTAATAAAATGCAGATTAAAAATACAAAGCAAAGGTATAGTGGCATCAACTGTTAAAATGCTTTTTAAAAAGGAAGGTCTTTGCCTGGTGCTGAAAAGTGTATAAAGAAGGTGCTGGATGACTCTCGGGGAGAGTGTTCCAGATGTGGGGAGCAGCTGCAGGAAAGACCCTCCCCCTAGCAGCCGCCCCCTAACTTCCCTAGGAGACGGCTCACACAGGAGGGCCCCCTGCATAGATCTCAAAGGCCAGGTAGACAAATAGCACATATCTGAGTTATGAAATCTTATCTCTTTCCCATTTCCTGTGCTACAGAATGGTAGAACTTGTGGTTCTCCATGTGTTGTTGGATTCCGGCTACCATGAGCCCCGGCCGGCCTGGCCAACGGTCAGAGAAGATGGGAGCTGGGCCCAAACAGTGCTTCAGGAACCAAAGGTTCCACTGTGAAAATACCACTCCGCTGGTCTCTGCTTCTGCCTTTAAAATGCAGATGATGCCGGAGTGCCTGTCTCGTGCCAAGGCTTGGGAACCCCAAAGCCTCCCGAATCGTTCAGGCTGCAGTTCCTGAAAGCTCCAGTCAGCATTGCCCACCCTGGTCTAGACTGTGGTTCCTCTGGTCTGTGAGTCCCTCTGAACTCCTGGGAAAGGAGCAGGGTCGATCCCATTTGTGGCTGCATCTGCTGCGTTGGGTGGGCCCACCTTGGCCTCATCTTTCAGAACCCTGAAAAGCAGACCATGCCGTCCACCAGCCTCCTGTCAGCCCTCCAGCTGGCTTGGCCTCCAGTTCCCAGCATCCCTGACTGCTGTGCATGCTGGCTGCAGCTGATGAGAGGTGAAGGACCAAACATCTGAAGTGCACCATGTTAGTGAAGCTTCTCCTGCAGCGTTCCTCAACAGTGCCACTCTTTTTAAAATAGATCATCTTCTGTCATCCATGGGGAAACCAGGGCAAAGGGCTGAGGCAGCGCAGCAAGCTGTGCTCAGAAGCTGAGGGCGAGTTGTCGCAGAAGCGTGAGTTGTCGCTGAAAGGTGAATCGTCATGTTCGTTGAACCCAGCTGAGACAATAAACCACAATTCACAAGCCAACATTCAACCACAGATTCTCTTCATGGATTGGGCATGGTTAAGAAGCCAAGGCTTGTGAGCTCAGTTGGGTCAGGCAACACCATAACCCATGGTTCAGCAGGCTTTCCTGTTGACGTGTGGTCTTCTGTTTTTTGCCTGGTTCTTGCAATGCTGGCTAGAAAATCTTTCAGTTACTTTCTTTGTGTTGAGGGTAAGGGAGAGGATTATGGTGATGGGTGGGAAATGAGAGACAGAGAGAGTGAGTGTCTTACAGATGTTGTGAATTTTTTTTCTTGTTGGAGAATATGGTACTGCAGTTTCCCTGCAGGAGTTTGCAAACTCTGTAGGGGAAATAGCTTTGCAAGAGCCTTTGCACATACAAACAGCATCAGCTTTGACAAGTGCTGGAGGAAATGGGTTTGTGCGTGTGTTGGAACAGTCAGCAAGGTGTTAAACACCATGCAAAGCCACTGGGAAGTCCATCAGTATTTTCAAGCCCAGTAATGGATCCAAGCCACTTTGCAGGGTCCTTTCTCTGTTGCTCGGCCGAAGAGAGCCATGCCAGGATGTGGCTCATTCAGTTGGCGTTTGGATGTCCTTATATTTGTCTAAAAGAGCTGGAAAATGAACACAAGTCCCTCCAGCCCTCCAAGTGACCACTTGACCCAAATGCTTTTAAATTGCAAAGGCTGCCTTAAAACACATTTGTAATTAGCTTTGAACTGGGTCAACAATGAAAGCCTTTCTGAAAGGTTGTAAAATGAGATCCGGGTGAAGCACTGCTCTTTCTTTTTCTCGTTAAAGACCAGAAAGGCCAGCTATTCATCCAACCCACTGGCCAGGTTGGGATCTTTAAATGCTCAGATGCTGGTGAGAGGATTCGGGAGCAGAAAATTGGCTTGCCGTTGGGCATCCCAAACTCAGCGTGACAGAGACTCCGATCTTTGTCTCTGAGACCGTGCCTGTCTCTGCAAGCCCCTGTCGGTGGCTCCAGGGAAGGGTGCTGCCCGTATCCACCGAGCAGTGCGGCTCCTTGGAGGCCTGATGGAGCAAGCAGGCTGGTTCACCTTGGAAGTGGTTGTAGGACCAGTGTCAGGTAGCCCCGTAAGTACCTGATCCACGGCGAGCATGGAAACCAGCTGGGAGCCCCAAGGGCAGCGACAGAGGTCTGCTCTGCCCTGTGGTCCTGATCCATGCCTGTTCCTGGCTCTGGCCTCACCTCCGGGCCTGCTGTGCCACTCCGTGTCTG